GCTCAGTAAGATATGTTACGACTCGAAAATTAAGTACGAGGATGCTACCAACTTAGGCGTAGCAATCAAAATATTGCCAACCACGATCGACGATTTCCGCCGTATCACGAAACTTTTTACGTACGAACGCGTATCGTACCACACATACGCTCTCCCGGAAGAGCGTAAAGTTAGGGTCGTCATCCGAGGCGTCCCGTTTGAACTCTCCAACGAGGAGATACTTGCGGACCTTAAGTCACAAGGTTTCCCCGTTGAAGCGGTTCACAAAATGCATAGTAGGACCGGGCTGAGATACCCGGTAATATTAGTAATTTTAAGTAACGTCCCGGAGGCTAAAACCATCTTCCGGCAAGTACGCACTGTGTGCGGCTTGTCTGGAGTCAAGGTTGAGTCACCGCGTAGGCGCGGTTTCCCGGCGCAGTGCCACCGCTGCCAATTGTATGGTCACGCGGCGGCCAATTGCTCCGCCCCACCCAGGTGCGTTAAGTGCCTAGATCCGCACATCACCAAAGAGTGTCCCAAAGATGCCGTATCCCCGCCCGCGTGCGTCCTGTGTCAACAGACAGGCCACCCGGCGAGCTACAGAGGATGCCCGTGCGCTCCTCGTCCGCGCATAGCAAGACAGGCACCACCGCCGGTAAATGACCGTTCATTCCCGGCCTTATATGTTAGGAAGCCCCGTCAGGGCGTATCTCAGCCGTCTCAGGGCTTTGCACGACCCCCTCAGGGTCTCCCGAGACCACCGCAGGCACCGCTTAGGCCACCACCGGGCTTCTCCAAGCCTATGCAGGCTCCAGTTTTTGCCTGGGGCCCCAAAAAGGTAGATCCACCGCCACAGGTATTTTCTGCTCCGCAGCAGAAACAGTCGACAATTGGCGATGACTTTAACACGGTTTACGCCGCGATAAGGAACATCGACATTAACGAAATCTCGGTTTTAGCGAGTAAACTGCGCGCCGCCCGGTCCCCTCAGGACCGGCTTTTGGCTCTCGCAGAACACAGTAATTTATTGCGTTCGTTGTAAGCTAAGTTAACTTAATTAACTTAGCTTATAATGACAGAGCCTTCTGCTCTGCCTAGAAGTCACGGTCGTATCAAGCCCAAAGGGCTATCGCTTATTTCATTTAATATTCGCGGATTGCGTAATAATCTCCCAGAGCTTAAGCTCTTCCTTAAAGATCGCGAAGCTGATTTTCTCCTCTTACAGGAAACCAATCTTAAACACACAGACAATAAAGGCTTATCCATTAAAAATTATTCTCTTCTTCGTAATGATAGGCACGACCGCCGAGGCGGCGGCACGGCCATTTATTACAAGAAGACACTACATTGCTCTCTTATTGATACTCCACAGCTTACCAATATGGAAGCTACGTTATGCAGGATATCTATGACGGGACATCAGTCTTTAGTCATAGCCTCCTGTTACATTCCCCCTAAAAACCTCCCCCTCAAAGATGATTTTGAGGCAATCTTATCTCAAAGTAATTCAGTCATTATGTTTGGAGATTTCAACTCTAAACATACTGAATGGACATGCCGTACGATTAATACTAATGGTAGGATACTGCGTGATATAACGCAGTCTCTTGACTTAACCGTTTTCAGCCCGCTCGGTGCAACGCACTATCCCGATAATACCGATTATAATCCAGATGTACTAGATTTTGCGTTACTCAAAGGAGTTTCACTCAACCTCAGGTCTATTGAGACACTAGACGATATAGGATCCGATCACCGACCGGTCTCTCTTATTCTTGGCCATCAGCCACCCCCTATTATAACTACGAAAACCTTCACTAACTGGAAGGGTTTCAAGGACTCACTAGCAAAAGCTATGGACTCGCAGGACTCCCCTAATTACCTATCGTCGGACTTAGACTTAGACAGTCCTGTAAAAATCGACACCGCGGTCGAATCACTTTCAACCCTAATTAAATCCTCCCTTAAGGAGAATGAAAGGGTCGTTCCGGTTGCTAATACTAATGGGCTTCCCCTATATATTAGCAACATATTAAAAGCTAAAAAAGCTGCTTTCCGGAGAGCAGCTAAATATCCCACCCCCGAATATAGGCATACGGCTAATCGTCTTCAACGAAAACTCCGTTCGCACCTTTATGAATTTCGAGAGCTCCAAAGGAGTGAACTCATGGAGAATATATCTCCCTCACATACAGCGTACTATCAGATGGCTAGAGCCCTCCGTATAGACGCTACAACTCACACTCCCCCTCTCTCCCGCCCCGACGGTACGGTTGCCTTCGAGGACGACGAGAAGGCTGAGTGCTTTGCAGACAGCATTGCCGCACAATGCTCTCCTAGCTCTCAACCTGTCGACCCCTCACATATTCAGGAAGTGGAGGATGAGGTCCGCCGCCGGAACTCACCCCCCACAACCTCTGACCCTATCACTGTGTCCAATGATGAGATCTCGTCCCTCATCAAAGGACTTAAGCCCAAAAAATCTCCGGGCGCGGATGGCATATCCAACCAAGCCCTTAAATACTTTCCAGAGCAGGTGTTAACCCTCTTAGCTATTATCTTTAACGCCTGTTTTAATCTTAGTTACTTTCCCACTTCTTGGAAAGAGGCAATTGTCATTGGTATTCCCAAGCCAGGCAAGCCTCTTAACCTCCCCTCCAGTCATCGTCCCATTAGCCTCCTAAAGGCCATGGGCAAACTCTTTGAAAGAGTCATTCAAAATCGAATGAGGCGCCATCTGTTTCCCACAGACGGTGACCCCATTGTCATCCCACACCAATTTGGTTTCCGCGCAAAACACTCGTGTCCACAACAGGTACACCGCATTGTGGAATATATCCTCAGCGGTTTTTATCCACGTCGACTAAAGACAATCGCGGTCTTTTTCGACATTGCCAAAGCCTTCGACCGAGTCTGGCATGAAGGCCTTATTTTCAAATTATATAGGATAGGACTCTCCGATCGTCTAGTACGTCTCGTAGCCTCTTATTTACAACATCGTACCTTTCGTTTTAGACACGAAGGCACGTTATCCTCTCAGCGCCCCATTAAAGCTGGTGTTCCTCAAGGATCAGTACTAGCTCCCCTCCTGTACATCTTGTACACCAACGACATTCCTATCCCGTCGAATGGTGTACAGCTCTCACTCTTCGCAGATGACACTGCACTATACTTCAAAAGTCCTAGAATATCTTCAGCAAGGAACAAGATCCAAAAGTCAGTCGATGACCTAGGAGACTGGTTCCAAAAATGGCGTATCGATGTGAACCCGGAGAAGAGCTCCGCAGTTCAATTCGATATTAAAAGACGCCGTAATAAAAACAAGAAAAATACTCCACCTATACGAATGCTAGGGACCCCTGTCCCATGGCACATGTCAGCAAAATATTTAGGCGTCACCCTTGACTATAGGCTTACTTTTGAGTCTCATGTCAAAAGAGTAACGCGTTTAGCACGTTTCTATTTAGGTCGGCTTAACAGTATGTTAGGCAGACATAGCAAAATGTCATTACGAAATAAGCGAACCCTCTATAAGGTTTGTATACGACCGGTTATGACTTACTCGGCTCCTATTTTTGCACACGCTAACGATAAAATTATTAACGAACTCCAAGTAGTTCAAAACCTCTTCTGTCGTCGAGCTACGAACGCACCTTGGTACGTCCGTAATGCCGACCTTCACCGGGATTTAGAAATCCCAACAATCCAGCAATGTCTTAAAAAATTCTCTGAAAACTTCTTTAAAGTATCAGAGTCGCATACTAACACACTTATTCGTGAGGCAGTTACTTATACCGCCCCACTCCCTTCTCGCTATAGCGTCCGCAGGCCGAGAAACACTCTCTCGGACCCGCCAAATAAGTTGTCAAACGACCTGAACTGCCTCCTGGCGGCTCAGGCCAATCCTAATTAAATTAAAAATTAGTTAAAATTAATAATATGCCTTCGTAGGCAGTCCCTAAACGGCACTTAGCCGTCTGCGCCCTCTTTTCCCAAAAGAGGGTCGCTTTAGATACGGCATATGCAGCTTTAATAGAGCTAGTTGCCAGTCCCCAAAGGCGGTTTTTAGTGGGTATCACTTAGGTCCCCCGGTAGGCAGTGAGTCCCACATAACCAGGACAGACCGGCTGTCGTGGTATGCATAATGCATTTTCCGCCTCCCTCAGTGGTAGCCCTTTTCCAATTGCTTCGGGCGCAAAAAAAAAAAAAAAAAAAAAGCTCGCCGCTCACTTAGCGGTTAGCCACCGTAGAGTCTATTTCACCTGAGGATGCCTCGTGTAGAGGCGAAACACGTGTCGTATTATCGTCAGTGGTGTGTCTTGCCTAGTGTAGTGGTGTTGGAAGTAGCGGTGCTGGGATTAGTGGTGACGGGGATAGTGCACGCAATTGAGGGAGGGCGGGAGGTGCTTCTTCATACTAGGTAAGACACATCATTTTATTTTATAACGCGGATATTTGCGAAGTAAATTTTTGTAAAAGCTTTTATATAATGGATTTCCGCAAAGTAACGCCTGATTCTATTAATTATAATATTTTTTTTAAATCGTGATATTATAAGTTCCTTTTATGTATTTAGTTGGTAAGCCTTATTAATAAATAAATAAATAAATAAAAACGTTATCAGCTCGTGAGATCCCACTGTTTGATATAGGCCTATTGCATTGTAGGAAGGACTCCCTTAAATCGCCACGTTTTACAGGTGGATTGGCGATCGAAGTACTATATGTATCACGCCTATAACGTTTCGTTGGGACATAGTCAGCCTCATAACTTTTTTCTTGGTGAACCGATTTCGATTATTCTTTTTATTTGAAATCTGGTGCTTCTCATGTGGTCACATATAAAAATCAAGTTCTGACCAATAGTTTTAGAGTTATTCTTAATAATTTATATTAAATTCCGTTGTACAATTTTTTAATTTTAAATTATTGAAGTCTTAATTTATCATAAGGTTTTTTCTTTTAAGAATAAACTGTTAAAAACATTAAATAATTTAAAAATAAAACTATTAAAATTTCTTAAGTTGAAGTCTGTACTTCGAAAAGACTTTTAAGTGTGAATCCTTCCTTCAAAGGTTCTATAGCTAATCCCAAATAAGGGCTATACACAGGTTGTATAGGTTCTTCTTTATTTTGTGCTAGTTGAGATGCCAGGTACAAATGCGGACCCATTTCTCCGCGGGGTTCGCCGATTTCTTCTAGTTCCTCTATCTCGTCACTTGTATTTTTGGGAATCTAAAAGTAAAAGTAAACTTTTATGCAATATATTTACGTCCCAGCACTGGGCATTAGCCAGGTTTAAGCTTAGACAGGCAGATTTTACTGCGTTGTTTTCCCTGACCGTTGAATACATACGTGGTAGAATATATACGTGGTAGAACCATGCTGCAGCTATATTAATAGTATAGTTGTAGCACGAATGGGTCGGCTCGACCGGGGAGGCACCGCGCTCTCACAGAATACCAGCATTAAATAGCAGCTTAATGCTGCTGTGTTTCGTATGGTGAGTGTAAAGAACCAGAGACCCTTTTTACTTGAAAAGAGGCATTCTATCTTAGTCCTCACGGTTGACAACGCATCTGCATTTTAATTCGCAAACGAAGATAGATGTAGATGTTTATGGGCTATGGTCCACAGCAACCACTTGCCATCATGAGGACTATGTGCTCGTTTGCCACCCTTATTCTATAAAAACAAGGTAAATCTGTACTTAACAAACCTATCCCCTATCTCAGCTACTGCAGCTCTAAATAAGAACTGTGGACTTTTAATTAAGTGATAATTTTAATGTGTACCCCATATCGTCTCGTTGGTATCGTGAGAGGCGACAGAGGGAAATAAGCCAGGAGATAGGTAGTGGCGTCTTTATAATAACGATAAATATAATAAAACTGCGGTCGCAAACCCTGAGGCCATATGAGGCAATCTATAGGAGAGGTCTATGTTCAGCAGTGGACCGTTTATAGATTACTACTGCGTTGGTAATGGGTTCGGTATTGAAAAGTCCAAATTTCAACAAATAATAATAACGTCTTCCAGACCGAATTTCAGTAACGGCATCTAAGCAGGAGAGGATCATAGTGTAAGAGTATTTGCGCAAGTACACACAGTACAGGTGCACTTTCTATTCCTTCACTCTCATAGTCCGATGAGACAGCAATCCGTTACAACCGCAGGGAGACCAGACGTAGGATCTACAACTTTACGTACTTTACAAGGCACGAGCTTGAAACACCACCAACATCGCTTATCTTGTTAAAAGATCTGAGATCAAGGATTCATATTTAAAATAGACTGTAAGAACATTACAAAATATAATAGTACCTCAGTAGCCCAATTCATCTCCACGCCAAATATTGGTTTTTCGGTGTAAGCTTGATGCAAGGTTTGCAGCTCACTGAGCATCGGCTGCAGCCTTTCGTGAGGGTCAGCTCTGAAGCCCAACACGTAACCGCCTGATGATGCGTGGATAACTATCACTAGGGCATCGCCAAACTTCGAGTTCCTTATTGTAATCTACGAAATCCAAATTAGTTAAATCTTAGTAACTTGAGTATAGTTTATGACTAATCTGTATATGATAACTTTAAAATATTCTTCTACCGGCAACCGTAACTGAATGCAATCCAGCTAGTGCGAGGAGTTCACATGACTGGCTGGCTTGAGGTAGACGGCCAGCCCGAGGTTACTGTTCCAAGTGAATTTAGCGAGTATGTTCTAGAAACTACTAATTGGACTGATAGGCTGCGGGGAACAAGAGTCTTGCTATGGTCAATATGCATCTCGCCCTTTTCCCTGCGGTCAAAAGGTGGTTGATGACGGTACCACAGAACAGATACGCCATTATTATCGTGAATGTTGATGTTTCCGTGTGCTCATATTTCTAGTCAAAAAGGCCTTCAGTATACACTAAAGGAAGGTCCCAGCTCTTGTTATGCGGGTATGCGTTAAGCATTTCCTTACGAAAAAACGGCATTCCAGCCCCAAATACTTGCACGCCCCTCCTGACCGTAGGCGCGCCGAAACACGCCTTCAAATACGGCCACGGTCTCCACCGGTGCAACGCCATCCACCACCTCCAACTCCCAAATCATTTACGCGTAGGCCATGAGACCAGGACGTGCCCTTCCTGGGCATCAGTCTTTATGATCCCAAAGATCTGGTATATGGATTCGCCGCCAACCCATATCGCGGCTTATCGAATATTGACGCTCCCTTCTGTGGCACCATCCCCACTACATCAGCGGTGCGGCCCGCACCTGAGTTGCAGAGGATAGGTCAAATGGTGCCTCGCCGTACCGATACAATAGACAGAATGAAAAGACAACCTTACCACTGCAATCCACTTACCATCAACTTGCTCCTAAGCCACGACAAGACTGATATTCCTTTAAATTCACCAAGCCACGGCTCCTATGAGCACCCTCCACACCTCTCGGGTCTCAAAAACACGAGAACGCGTCCGGAGAACATAACCTGAGTAAACTAACCCCACACCGAAGTCAGCAACTTCGTGGTGATTACTTAAAACGCCCTTCTATGATGGAGGTCTACGTCCAACTGTAGACTTTTATATGATTGTGAATATATTTTTTGATATTTAAAACATTTCATCTCACCCCTCATGGGTGATCCAGCTGCATTTTGATTCTTAATCGTGGATAGATGTAGGTGCCTATACTAAACATCAATTAGACTGTAATTAATAGAGATAAAGGGTCTTTTACACTTTCAATTGTGATGTACGGCATGGAAACGTTGAACGCCTCGTTGACATCCGCGTACCACACGATGCGTACGTTGCTCGCCAGCAGGTTTCCAAGGTTGCCGGACTCGCTGGACAAATTCCACACGCCGTGCTCGTGCAGACATATCTGAAGAAGACCAAACAATTGGACATGAAGCATTGGTTATAATTGATACGTTGTAGAGCCACGCTGCAGCTATATTATAGTTGTAGCACGAATGGGTCGACTCGCCCGGGGTAGGACCACGTTTTCACAGAATATCAGCGTAAAAACACAGCTTTTTACTGGAAACGCCTCGGGGCTGACAACACATTGGCATTTTATTTCTTATTCGTGTATAAATGTAAATGCCTCAGCATCTTTTACCATCAGGTGGACTGTGCTTATTTGACACCCTTATTCTACAAAAAAAAAGTAGATACGTTTCCAAAACTAGGCTAACTGTCGAATACAGAAAGTTCAAATACAAAGTAAAGAAACAACTCACTAACATCTCATTACTGAAGCGGTCATTTTTAGAATGACTGATAATATTTAAAGCACATACGCACAAAAAAATGGCCGTACGCGTCGTACAAAAAAATCTTTAAGAACTTGACGTGAAACGTCGTCCATTTCTCTTTAAAGTGGTCGACGAAGGCGCATGCTACACACTGCAGACACTTATCATACTTATGGGCTAGTAATGATTATGAGGCCAGTCCTCATGACCAGCTCAGATTTGCATTACATAAATTAGGTTTGGTCATCATCATTATAATTACAGCCCTTTACAAGTTCACAGCTGAAAACAAGCTTCAACCAAATAACGCCACAAGTAACTAGGTAATTAGGTTTAATTTTGCATAATTTTTCTTTGTGTAATTTTATTTAACTATACTTTAATGCCACACGTCACCTATAGATGTGTGAGAAAAAAACGTCACTGGCAATAAGATACATGGTTTTGGCATATTATATTCTATTTTTTAATGCCCTTAAAAGTAGAAAAATATGTCATTTTTTCTATTTATTTATCATTTCAAAGTTAAGAATACAAAAGCATAAGTAAAATAGCATCTATAAACCAGAAAGGTAATTGAGTTATTGGATTAAAATTCTAACAAACGTTAACAATATTTACCTTTTCAAGAGGCAGTATCCGAAGCTGTTTGTTCTGTATTATGGCGCTTCTAAGTTTCAGGTCACGGTATAATCTGGAACCCGCATACGCTCTAAAGACAAAAGTTAAAAAATTAAAGGTACATTCTAGATGTGTCACTGCTGGGCAGTGATACATCCTGCTGGGCACATATCCTTTCTCATTTTTAAGAGGAATTAGACCGCTACGCTGCTTAATGAGAGCTACTAATTTTCTACTCACCAGATGTCGCTAGTTTATACTGAGATAAAGATTTTGTTACTAAGTGTAATTTTATTGACAAGTTGGTTTTTAATAAAAGTTAATCAGTTTCTAGAGTATTAAATTAATACACAAAACAATGCGTCAATGGTTTGCTCTTTAATTTTTATTTATTTATGCACATTTTTAACTTTTTTTATTTGCTTACTTTTATGAATATCTGTGGTTTGGTTTATTTATTTTCAATGTTATTAATATAAAATATAGCTAATAGTACAAAAAGAACCATTAATTTTTCATTTTCCGAACAAATTAACTTCCCCGCTATGATATCTGTCAAATATTATACTCACTCACTTTGTAGTGGCGCCGCCCTGGTGGTAGAAAAAGTCGTGGATGCCATCATTGCGTTTTAGCAAACCTCAGACGTATTTTTTTTCAAAACGTATTAGGTCTGCCAAACGTAATAAAATTTACAAAATCGTCTGATATAAGTTTTTTAATCGTCGTGACAATTATACATTTTAAATAAGTATTTTTGTTTTTGTTGAAAGCATATTATGATAAAAACAAAAAAATAAAATAATTAATATTCTCCACCGACTGACGAAGGAATATTAAAATACCTATATAATTAATGTATAAATTACCAAAAAATAGGTATATATATAAATTTACGTGAGTGCTGGATCAAGTAATCATCACACTATTCCCCTGTAGGAGGAATGGATTACTAATGAATGATCGATTTATTATTTAAGCGATCGATTATTACTTTATTCAAATTATTTTAGTCAATTAATTATTTCCATTCGATTTTATCATCACAATACATTTCTAGAAACTTCAAATCTGTACAGTACACAAAATATGTGAAAAAGTGATAAAATATATGCGCTTGACAGTGATTCGGTTACCGGCGAACATTTTCACTAGCAAAGAGACATCCCATAGTCCTCAGGGGTGACAATGTATTTCTGCATTTTCATTCTTAAACGGGGATAAATTGAATAGTCCTCAGGAGTGACAATGTATTTCTGCATTTTCATTCTTAAATGGGAATAAATGGAAGATATCTATGGGCCACAGCACTACTACTACTTATCATCAGGTGGACTGTGTGCTAGTTTGTCATCTTTATTCCAATATAAATGTTACAAAGGCATCGCTCAAGTGCCGGGTCGCAGCTGTGTATCGCTAGCAACGCAAAATCGGGAATTTGCATTTGGAAAAATCCAAAATTAGGGGCTTTTTAAGTGCTAATTAGGTGCCAAGTTTAAAAATTAGGTGCTCTAAAATTTTCATCGCAAGGAACGATTGAAATTTGCGTTGCCAGCAAAACGTCTCGCTAGCAACGCAATAAAGTTATTAGATATACCATAAATATTAATAGCAAGGAATTAAGTGCTAATTAGGTGCTGCAAGTATAAACAATAACAAGGCACCCCTAATAAAAATAAAGTCGTTATTCAGAACATAGCAGATGCAAAATTCAGATTTCCTGAAAATCAAAATAGAATCAAAATTGCTTTCAGAAAAAGTCCAAATTAGGGGCTTTTTAGGTGCTAATTAAGTATCAAGTTTAAAAATTAGGTGCTCTAAAATTTTCACCGCAACGATCGATTGAAATTTGCGTTGCTGGCAAAACGTATCGCTAGCAACGCAATTACGTTATTAGATATACGATAAATATTAATAGCTAGGAATTAAGTGCTAATTAAGTGCTGAGCGATTATCGAAACCCGATACAGATTCAGACATTATTATGGCAATTATAGGGTCCATGACCACCATTACCTTACCATAAGATATGAACGGCAATTTATGTTCCGTATCAGTACCTAAAAATTAAGTGCTAATTAGGTGCTAATTAGGTGTCAAGTTTAAAAATTAGGTGCTCTAAAATTTTCACCGCAAGGAACGATTGAAATTTGCGTTGCTAGCAAAACGTATCGCTAGCAACGCAATGAAGTTATTAGATATACGATAAATATTAATAGCCAGGAATTAAGTGCTAATTAGGTGCTGCAAGTATGCGCAATGATAAGGCGCCCTTAATAAAAATAAAGTAGTTATTCAGAAACAAAACAGATGCAAGATTATGGTTTTCTGAAAATCAGAATAGAATCAAAATTGCTTTTAGAAAAAGCCCAAATTAGGGGCTTTTTAGGTGCTAATTAAGTACTAAGTTTAAAAATTAGTTGCTCCAAAATTTTCGCCGCAACGAACCATTGAAATTTGCGTTGCTGGCAAAACGTATCGCTAGCAACGCAATGAAGTTATTAGATATACGATAAATAATAATAGCAAGAAATTAAGTGCTAATTAAATGCTGCAAATATAGGCAATGACAAGGCGCCCCAGATAAAAAATAAAATCGTTATTCAGAAAATTATTCAGTAAAGCAAATGCAAAAATCAGGTCTTTGTGTATGTGCCATCTAACGTCTATCGCACTGACCACCTTGAGAGTCCATCGATTTTGATTCGATAAAATGACTAGAATTATAGAACGTTGTAGATGGCGCTATTTATTACAAAGCAATTTACTGGAAAGAATATAATATCCTTTCGATTTCGTACACTAAAAATAAGAATTGTAATATTTATTTGCTATAAAATTAAACTTCTATCGTATATAGTAATTAGGTCAAGTTCAAATGAGTAAGCGCCGCCTCTTACACCGTTCCACCCTCACCCCGCCACGCGCTTTCTTTTGCTAATACCAGGACTATTACCGTTTAGAAGGTCCAATATTTTTATTTTTGTATGAAAATAATAATTTTAGAAATATATTTATTTTCTTACAGATGTTGTTGTTATGATGTAAATAACATATTCCCAAAAGGTCTTCAGTAAATTAAAAATTACCCTGTATACAGCTTGCAAAGATCATTATTTATTAGAAGAATAAAACATTAAAATAAACAATAAAACATTTTAATAACATACTATAGCCGTATAGCCGTAAACATAATGTTTTAATAACACATACTATCTCTCTTTGGATAATAAATGTTCCCCAAATTTTGGTCGCGGCGGCCAGTCTCAAAGGAGACTAGCCATCTGCCAGGGTTATGGTGCCCGAGTGTATATGCAAGCCCAGGTGCGCTCTCTATTCCCGCACTCTCATAGTCCCATGGGACAACACGACCGGACAGAGATCAGGCGCTGAACCAACGATTTTACGTGCTTTCCGAGGCACAGGGGTGAGACATCGCCTACTGAGAATTGTTTGACGCAAAAACTCAATAAATGATTTTTTAGCCTGACTCGGGATTCTAATCCGGGACCTCATCAGCAGTCGCGTTTACAACCACTAGACCAACAAGTCTCTTTGGATATGAGTATATAATATAATTACGTTATTACTTCGGCAAGCAGACTTCCTATTGTACACAAACCCTTGCGTTTAGCGAAGAGTATTAGGTATTTATTTTATCAGACTGTGTTGCGTTTTAAACTATTGCACAAAACCTCGAGTTGTGCCTCGAGTGCACAGAACGCCTAACTACCGCGCCGCCATGGCGCTGAAACCATGTAATGGCTCCAGTACACGTTGGCCGAGCGCGCTTGACGACCGCACTCGGCAGATTTTCGTGGTGCCGTTCACACGTTGGCGTGTTTCATTCTGGGTTGGTAGGTAGATGATGATGGACGTTAGGGCAATCGCGGCCTTAGACTTATACAGCGCTTCACTCTTCTCAGAGTGAACGAAAAAAAACTACACATACAACAATAATCCCAGTTTGTCCTTTTTAGGGTTCCGACCTCAAAAGGAAAAAAGAAACCTTTATAGGATCTACTAGCTGACACGTGCCCGCTTCGCTGGGGGTTTTTTCAAAATAAATGATAGCCCAAAAGAAGCCCCTAAGCTACATTATCCCTGAGCAACATAAACGCAGGGATAATTTATAATAACATTTATCATTAGGTAGGTACTCTGAAATCGCAACTAAACATGTATTATTTAATGCAGTTAGGCAAGTTACTTACTCTGGTTTAATTTTTATGTTGCTCATGTTTGGGGTTCCATATAACTGATTCATTGTGAGAATCAATGACTGAACAATGAATCAATATTTCACTCCATAATTATTAAATTGTAATGTGTTGGTATGCATATAAGTAACATTAAAAATATATTATATTGAATTAAATATTTTTTCATAATATATAATATTTATTTATATATATATGTGTGTGTGTTTATATGTATATATTTGTATTGTATATGTATATTTATGTAAGTGCACACTTTGACTACCTCTACTTCCTTCAACTATCCTTCAATAGGCCTGCTGGATAAAATTTCATCATGGAATAGGCAGTGCCTTTGTACATAATTATGTTTTTACCATATTTATTTTATTTATTTAATAAATTTGTTAGTTTTTAAATAAATAAAAAATAAAATAAATCCATTTTTATGTTTACGCCATCTAGCGTCATTTATACCTACCACCTTGAGAGTCCATCGGTTTTGGTTCGATAAAATGATTAAAACTATAGAAAGATGTAGATGGCGATATTTATTATGAAGCAATTTTACTGGAAAGAAAATATTATTTTGATTAAGTACACTAAAGTTTAGGCTTCATATGTCTAAAAGTAAGAATTGTAACATTTATTTAGTTGAAAATTATATTAAATAATATTATGGATTATATAAAATCTGAAAAACAAAAAATGTCGTTCATACCTAATAGTAAGGTAATGGTGGTTTTAAATCCGATAATTTCCGGAATATTACCGTCATCTCCTTGCGATCTCAATAATCTTTCAGCACCTAATTAGCACTTAATTTTTAGGCACTAATAAAGAACAAAAAATATCGTTCAAACATTATGGTAAGGTAATGGTGGTCGTGGATCCCATAATTCCCAGAATAATATCTTAATTTGTATCGGGTACGTCGTACGTCGTAACGTCATTGCGTTGCTAGCGATACGTTTTGCCAGCAACGCAAATTTCAATGGTTCGTTGCGGCGAAAAATTTGGAGCAACTAATTTTTAAACTTAGTACTTAATTAGCACCTAAAAAGCCCCTAATTTGGGCTTTTTCTAAAAGCAATTTTGATTCTATTCTGATTTTCAGAAAACCATAATCTTGCATCTGTTTTGTTTCTGAATAACTACTTTATTTTTATTAAGGGCGCCTTATCATTGCGCATACTTGCAGCACCTACTTAGCACTTAATTCCTTGCTATTAATATTTATCGTATATCTAATAACTTCATTGCGTTGCTAGCGATACGTTTTGCTAGCAACGCAAATTTCAATCGTTCCTTGCGGTGAAAATTTTAGAGCACCTAATTTTTAAACTTGACAACTAATTAGCACTTAATTTTTAGGTACTGATACGGAACATAAATTGCCGTTCATACCTTATGGTAAGGTAATGGTGGTCATGGACCCTATAATTGCCATAATAATGTCTGAATCTGTATCGGGTTTCGATAATCGCTCAGCACTTAATTAGCACTTAATTCCTAGCTATTAATATTTATCGTATATCTAATAACGTAATTGCGTTGCTAGCGATACGTTTTGCTAGCAACGCAAATTTCAATCGTTCCTTGCGGTGAAAATTTTAGAGCACCTAATTTTTAAACTTGACACCTAATTAGCACCTAATTAGCACTTAATTTTTAGGTACTGATGCGGAACATAAATTGCCGTTCATATCTTATGGTAAGGTAATGGTGGTCATGGACCCTATAATTGCCATAATAATGTCTGAATCTGTATCGGGTTTCGATAATCGCTCAGCACTTAATTAGCACTTAATTCCTAGCTATTAATATTTATCGTATATCTAATAACGTAATTGCGTTGCTAGCGATACGTTTTGCCAGCAACGCAAATTTCAATCGATCGTTGCGGTGAAAATTTTAGAGCACCTAATTTTTAAACTTGATACTTAATTAGCACCTAAAAAGCCCCTAATTTGGACTTTTTCTGAAAGCAATTTTGATTCTATTTTGATTTTCAGGAAATCTGAATTTTGCATCTGCTATGTTCTGAATAACGACTTTATTTTTATTAGGGGTGCCTTGTTATTGTTTATACTTGCAGCACCTAATTAGCACTTAATTCCTTGCTATTAATATTTATGGTATATCTAATAACTTTATTGCGTTGCTAGCGAGACGTTTTGCTGGCAACGCAAATTTCAATCGTTCCTTGCGGTGAAAATTTTAGAGCACCTAATTTTTAAACTTGGCACCTAATTAGCACTTAAAAAGCCCCTAATTTTGGATTTTTCCAAATGAAAATTCCCGATTTTGCGTTGCTAGCGATACACAGCTCCGGGTCGCAGCTGTAACGCACGGTGACCCAATAATATATGCATCATACGTTGAAAATTACTTGTGAACTCCAACTACAGACGTGTAGTGTCTCACGCAGTTAGGCGACAGGTTCGTAAATATGAACTCGTATTTATTGGTCTTGTAAGCCGCTAGCATGTACAGTGCCTGAGTAGTGCCGCGTAGACCAGAGTTTACGACCTTGGTGCTTGTAGAGATGATGCAGTTGAGGCCGATCGCTGAAAAAATGTTAAATTATTTGTGAATAACATTTTTTTATAATATTTCATTTCTGTCAAACTCAAACTGAAAATATTTTTATTCGAAATTGGCTTTTAGAAAGCACTTTTTGCTAGCTATACGATCACTGTAACAAGTCACCACTAGGGTACCTCGTGCTAAGCGCTAGAAAACTCTCAAGTAGACTATTATACTACTTCTCTGATGTCCAGGTTAAGGAGCTCACTATATCCTAGACAAGAAAGTATCCCTATCGTCTAGTATTCTTTCAGAAATTTTCCCTAATCTCTTTGTACGACACCGCCGCAACACGGCGAATTTAGTTATCTATTCATTCTGCTGCAACAGTTAGTAAGACTACTAGACCTCTTTAACTCCTCATTAATTGTAAGAAGGACCTCTCCATTTAGAGGCCAAATTGGGGGAAGAGAAGGTCAAATCGGCCTCTAAAAAGATTGGCACGTTTAGCAGAGCGGGACAGTATTTCATGCCGGCACACCGCCTGCAACTTTACAAGGCGCAGGTTCGGCCTCACATGGAATACTGTTCCCATTTCTGGGCCGGAGCTCCCCAGTGCCAGCTCCTTCCATTTGATCGCATCCAGTGCAGAGCAGTTCAAATCGTTGACGATCGAGTTCTTTCATGTCGGCTTGACTCACTGACGCTGTGAAGAGATATTGCATCTCTTTGCTTATTCTATTGTATCTACCACGGAGAGTGCTCAGAGAAATTGTTGGAACTAATTACAGCCGGCTAATTTCACCATCGCACATCGCGACAAAGCTCGAGTTACCATCCAAACCATCTGGATGATTGGTGGACTGTGCGATTTATAAGAAGTTTTCTTCCTCGCACAACATCCTTGTGGAATTAATTACCACCAGCGATTTTTCCGGACGGATACAACTTACAGACCTTCAAGAAAAGAGCCTACACTTTTTTAGGCCGGCAACGCATCTGCAATTCTCCTGGTGTTGCAGTTGTTCATGAGCGGCGGTGTTCACTTACCATCAGGTGAGCCGCATGCCAGTTTGCCCCTTCTCAAATAAAAAAGTATTATTAAGTCGCAGACGTGTTCAAAATTCAATCCGGAACATTAACCCAAATATAGTTACCGTTGCGGCCATTTAAAGTCCACTGCTGAACATAGGCCTCCCTCATAGATTGCCAAATAGGGGCCATATTTGCCATAGTTTCCACGCTTGGCAAGCTGGTTGCTAACCGCAGTTTATTTTTATTTTTAGTAGTTATTAAGACGACGTTGCTGCCCATTTCCTGACTTTTCCCTCTGTCGCCTCTTACGACACCCACGGGATGATATGGGGTTGTGGATATTCTTACACCGCCTCTACACGGTAAAACCCAAATAGTTAATGAATTATCTATAAATGGCAGAACCATAAATTTCTATACTTTGCAGACATTTTGTTAGGTACCAATTTTCTTAAGTATAGGGATACATATATATATATAGGGATGTATATATTTTCGTACGTGGTAGAGTCATGCTGCAGCTATATTAGTAGTATAGTTGTAGCACGAATGGGTCGGCTCGACCGGGGAAGGGCCACGCTCTCACAGAATACCAGCGTCAAATAGCAGCTTGCTGCTGTGTTTCGTATAGTGAGTGTAGAGAACCGGAGACCCTTTTTACTGGAAAAGAGGCATTCTACCTTAGTCCTCACGGGTGAAAATGCATCTGCATTATGATTCGCAAATGAGGATAAATGTAGATGTCTATGGGCCACAGCAACCACTTACCATCAGGTGGACTGTGTGCTCGTTTGTTACCCTTATTCTATAAAAAAAATGTTTTTCTTCATCAGTACGTAAAAGTCCACCACTGCGCAAGGGGCTCTCCCATTGAAAGATTTTGCCTTAATCTTCACGCTCGCAATGTGTATTGACCATCGCAATATCTTGTTTCTTTCTTTAAAAAAAAAAACGTTAACCCCACACTAGGATATTCTCCTGTATCGTAAAGGTAGTTTACAAATATAAATTGCATGAAAACAAACATCTCGACCCGAAACTTTATTTGTAGGTCATACAAATACTTGTTGCGTGCGGGAGTCAAACCCGCGGTCAGCGCCGCAACTGAATCCTAAGTCACTGCGCCAAGGCTCCAGAAGTTTATATATATTACGTCTAAATACAGAGAGCAAGTAGTAACAAATAGATAAAACAACACCGGCAAGGTTAAACAATCATACAAAAGCAAACTTGACACAAGCGTCCCTTGACACTATATTTAAGCCTACCACTAATTCCTTTAAATAAGCATTATCGCGAATATACCAGGGTAGCATCATTTACGAGCAACTAACACAGATTGATCCTCGGCGAACTCATCGAATGCCAGATAATCCTCAAGTTTGTGACCACCATCCGCCCCTTCGACCCGCTGTTTCCTTTCGTGTCTTCTATGGGCTCTATTCTGTCGAAGATTTTCTCCCCTGGGCGTAGCCTTAGATATCTATAAAACAACATTACAAAAGTCTTAGGCAGGCAGAGCTCTCACTTTAAATATTATAATACACTAGCATCCTGAGTCAGGCTTTAAATATTGAACAGAAGCCATGACAGTTCGATCCCCAATGCCGGCACCATTGAAATAATTAACTTGAAATTTTAAGTGCATGTCTGAGAAATTAATAATAATGTTTCAAGTATCATTGCATATGACTGGCTCTCAACACCCTTTAGATCTATTAGAGGCTGTGATGCATTCCTCAGTCCTCAAAGGCCAGAGCTGATAACGCACTGCAGTAGCCACTTACCATCAGTAAGTTAGTTTGTCCTGTCAGTTTTATATAAAAAAAAATAGAATTTGGTATAGAACATTATCACTGAATAGACAATAGTACAAGTAACATAACTAAAATTATTTTACAAGAAATAACTCAATTAAGCAAAGAAAAAAATAATCCTATGGTGCGTATATTAGTGATCGTGTAACATCTGAACGACAAGAACAATTAAGATCATATTACTCACTTTAGTATCATCTTTTTTTATAGGATAGAGTGACAAATGAGCACATAGTCCATCGACACATTGGTATATTGGTACATAGTCCACCAATGTGTCACAGCAACCACTTACCATCAGTAAAACATCTACACTTATCCTCAATAAAGAATCAAAATGCTAATGAATTCTCACCGGTGACGACTAAGATGGAATACCTCCTTTCCAGTAAAATTTTACGCTGATATTCTGTGAGATCGTGGCCCTTCCCCAGTCGAGCCAACCCATTCGTGCTACAACTATACTACTAATATAGCTGCAGCATGGCTCTACCACGTTTAAATTCATCTATAATATTAACACATTATTTTTTGTCGTGATAATAGTTAATAGTTTCTTCTTAAGCTGTTAGCCACAGCTATGTTATGATGCAATAGCTGTCTCTGCAGTAAAATAGTTAATATCTTTTTTTAGTTTTGGACTAAAATCGGATCCCGATATGTGGCACTGTCGTCGAATTATTAATAAATTTTATATTTATACTGTAAAGAGGTCCGAAGCAAAACTCATCGCATTTACTGAAAAGGGCAGATTAAGGTATACAATAAAGTTTCGACATTTATATTCTTTCAAGGTCAACATTTTCCATCTTATTGTGGTGACGTAAGAGAATCCATGGCCTCATATGATTCCATTACTGTGTAGTGGCATGTGAGAATATCCACTACGCCATAACAGCCCGTGGGTGTCGCAAGAGGCGACAGAGGGAAACAACTCAGGAGATAGGCAGCAGCGTCTTCCTAATGACGACTAAAAATAAAAAAACTGCGGCTGCCAACCCGTTTGCCAAGCAAACATCACCCTATGAGGCAATCTATGAGGAGGCCTTTGCAACGGTAACGGTATGTGATTCCATGAGTATGGTTCAATTCGATTAAGTAAATGACAGTAAAACATGTCTCCGTCACATGTCTGTACAGCCATCTCAGGTATAATATACCAAATATTTAAAAACCAGAGTAACAATTTTATTACTGTTTTTTAAAAGAAATATACGTGAAACTTTTTTCAGCTGTCATCTGCGTCTAGGTTTCGAATTATTTACCCTACTAAACATTAAAGAAATAAAAATAAAAACCACGCTTTTTCTAGAAACAATAAACAATGACTTTGAAAAGAGGTTTGATTCAGCTTAAGTGGCAAAGCGGCCAGTGTTTTAACAAAGTAAAATATAATTATATTTATTCAAAACTCTTACGAAAAGGGCAAGTCGAAGAGTACTTCTCTGTCCTGCCAGGTTGCTTTACTGTCCGTTGTCTTGTTCTTGGGCATTTTAATAAATTTCCCTAACGATTCAAAGGTATTATCTACTTTTTGTTTGGACTAATGTTGCCATGACAACCGCCGACATTTGTAAACTATTTCTTATGGCCGACTTACATTATCTTAGTCTTTAGTTAATGTACTCTATATTCGTAGAACATATGTAAACAGTAGCTTTTGCTGGTAAGTAGGTACTACTCACAGACCTATGCCGTGATACAAATACGGATAGTCTCTGTTTTAAACTATGGTTTAAGGAGAATATTTTTCACAAAAGAAGTCTCTTAGCCGTGGCGCCATAGACTTTAAATTTGACATTTGCTGTCAAATTTCATACTTTACATTTTAGTACGCATATTTTCCGCGAGACTACTTTCTTAAAACATTCTCTAATTTAAACGAGATAAATTATAATAATTTTTTTTATAGTATAGGGTGACAAGCGAGCACACAGTCCACCTGATGGTAAGTAGTTGCTGTGGCCCATAGATATATACATCTATCCTCGTTTGTGAATCAAAATGCAGATGCGTTGTTACCCGTGAGGACTAAGATGGAATGCCTCTTTTCCAGTAAAAAGGGCCTCCGGTTTTCTACACTCACCATACGAAACACAGTAGTGTTAAGCTGCTATTTTACGCTGGTATTCTGTGAGAGCGTGGTTCTTCCCCGGTCGAGCCGACCCATTCGTGCTACAACTATACAACTAATATAACTGCAGCATGGCTCTACCACGTATAAAACTAATATTTTTTGTTATAATAATAAATATAACTGTTATAATATAAACTAATTGTAAACTACATCCACTATCAACCATATGAGGTAAGACTTTTTTCTTTAAAAAAAACGTTACCACCACACTAGGATTTTCTCCTGTATCGTGGAGGCAGTTTATAAACATAAATTGCACGAGGGCAAACTTCCAGACCCGGAACAATTATTTACCGGGTCCGGATCGGGTTAGATACCTCAGAGGCTAGCTAGAAAGATGAGCTAGCTGTGATCTTAAATTTTATAGTTTTAATTATGAATATCTGGATTCACAACAAGATGGCTTACTTATTTTAATATATTGATTGTATTTTAACAAGTTTAATATATTTATTTATATCAGGAAAATTAGCAGCTTTTAATAACACTGTATGGTACATATGTATGACCTCTCTTTGGAATAGCTTACCACCGGCGATTTTTTTGGACCGATACGACGTAGGGACCTTCAAGAAAAGCGATTACTACTTTCTGAATGGCCGGCAATGCACCTGCAATTCCCCTGGTGTTACAGTTGTTTATAGGCGGCGATGGTCACTTACCATCAGGTGAGTCGTAAGCTCGTTTGCCCCCTCTACTATAAAAAAAATAATTAGTTACAAAGAAAGCGTTTAAAAGTTTTCACAAATGCATGAATTACCTAAATATTATTTAGCTTAGCAAAATAAAATGAAAACTATATATTCAAATGTACATAGGTATTAAAAAGTATTATTAAGCACACTAAAGTCATTATTAAGTGTTCAAATGATACAAGGTCACCTGTCAAAAAGTTTGGAAGCTAAGTGCTTGTAAGTCAGGTTGTAATTGACGAAGACTTTGCCAGGCGCTCCTGTTTTATCAGATTTGTCACTCTTTATTGGCGTTAATCTCGCGAAATTCCTTTTAACGTTGATGAAATTATACTAATAACGTCTTAAGAGACTGTAACGTTGTAAATGCGGTTTTTGTTCAATTATTAAATCTGATACAGGCATTGTTTACATAATCACAATCGGACTTCTTTATGATTATTGGTGATTTTAATTTGCCTTGTTCAACATGGAACACTGATGGTTGGTCTTTGATACCGATAGGCAAATCTGAGGTTCAATTAGCTGCTAATACCTTGGCTGAGGATCTGAGCTTTTTAGGTATGAGTCAATTTAATTTTATTCAAAATCATTGTAATAATGTCCTCGACTTGTGTTTTTCAAACTTATATTTAGAAATAAAAAAATCGGATCCTATTTCCAGATTAGATGATTTTCATCCTCCATTCACGGTTGATGTCACTGATCTTTCCATTAAACCTTTAAAAGAGAAATTTCAACCGAAGTATAATTTCCGGAAATTTAATTACACAATCATCAATGAATTTTTGAATAATGTTGATTGGAATGAGTTGCTGTTGAATACTGCGTCAGTAGATCATGCTGTAGAAAATTTTTATAAAAAATTAAACGAATGCTTTGTGCTATTTGTTCCTCTTATACCCTCTTGTAATAATTATTACCCATGTTGGTACAGCCCTGCATTGATAAAAATTTTACGGGAGAAATCTAAAGTCCATAAAAAATGTAAAAAATGGAAGAATCTTCGTGATTATGAAGAGTTTAAATTGCTTAGAGATAGACAACATCGTATACAAAAGAAATGTTTCGAGCATTTCACGTGTAACACTGAAAAAAATTTAAAAACGTCGCCTAAGTTCTTTTGGAAATATGTTAAATCAAAGAGAGAGACATCCACTTATCCTCAAAATTTCTCTTTTAACAATAAGAATTACTCTAAAAGGGCAGGACATTTGCTAAGCATTTAATAACTATGTCAAAAGCGTATTTACTGATTCTGTTTTACCATCAAGTGAGTTTCATAACCATTCCGATATGAGCATAGATCAGATCTCTAGCATAAATATATCCCGGGAAGCTGTTCTTAAGTATCTTAAACACTTGGATTCAAATAAAGGGGCTGGTTATGATGGAGTGCCTCCTGTGTTCTTGAAGTCCTGCGCCGATAGCTTAAGTTACCCAATTTCTTTACTTTTTAAACTTTCTCTACAACATTCTGTTTTTCCATTGTTATGGAAAAGAGCGCATATAATTCCTATTCATAAAAAAGGCGCCAAATCTAAGATAGATAATTACCGCCCAATTTCGATTCTTAGCACTGTTGCGAAAATTTTTGAAAAACTAGTATTTAATAAAATTTATCCAATTATTATAAAAGGTATACCTAACTCACAACATGGTTTCTTGAAGAGACGCTCCACCACGTCTAATCTTGCCTGTTTCACTGAGTACCTACGTTCTCAATCATATGGAAAACGGTGGTCAGGTTGACGTGATATACACGGATTTCGAAAAAGCTTTTGACCGTGTTAATCATGTTGTCTTGCTACAAAAGCTCCAGGCGCTCGGAATTCATGGAGATCTGCTTAGATGGGTAAAATTTTATCTAATGAATCGATCTCAGGCAGTTATTCTTGGAGGATACAGGTCAGATTTTATTACTATCCCATCTGGCGTGCCTCAAGGCTCTCATCTTGGCCCCCTATTCTACAACGCATATATATTTGATATACATAAATTTATAAGTAACTGCCATCACTTACTGTATGCCGATGATAAGAAAATATTTCTCAGTGTTCGTACTATTGAAGACTGCGAATCTATTCAAAAAGATCTTGCCTCTTTATATAACTTTTACGTAGCTAACGGCATAAATGTAAGCATATCTAAATGTCAGTGTATATCTTTCACCAGGAAATTGAATCCAATAGTATTTCCCTATAATTTTAATGGAATTTTAATTAAGAGGGTCAAAGTTGTTCGAGATTTAGGCGTAATCTTTGATGCCGGCATGACCATGCGTGATCATATCAATAGTATATGTAGTAAATCTTTTCGTAATCTTGGATTTGTCATGCGCACATGTCTTCCATTTACGGAATTACTAAGTCTTAAAATAGTTTATTTTTCGTATGTAAGATCCACTCTTGAGTATGCATGCCAGGTTTGGTCACCGTTTTTTAAAATTTACATTAACAATATTGAAAGAATTCAACGTAAATTTATTTCACACCTGAACTATAAATTTAAACATAATAGCTCATCATATTTAGATGACTGCCGACACTATAACCTTCTTACGCTCGAAGAAAGACGAGGACTGTTAGATATGGGATTTCTATATGATATTTTACGCGAAGGTATTGACTGTCCGGATTTACTGAATAATGTCACGTTTAATGTGCAAAAAAAACGTACTAGAATCACCAAGGAAACTATGTTTTGTATTCCTCGTCACTCCACACTTTACGGTAAAAATAGTATCTTAACGCGATTGTTATCAAATTATAACAAAACATTTAATACCATCGATCCCTTTATAGGCAGTAAAAGTGATTTTACAAACAAGGTACGTGCATTCATTTTGAACACAGCTTCTGTTGTTTGAATTACCTGTATTTGTAACCATTTATGTAGGATGCAGGTAAGGTACATTATGAAGAACACTTTCTGTAGGTATCTATATTTAAATAATAAGTAAACTATGTAATATTTTAGAATATGTATGTATATGTATGTGTGTGTATGTATGTATGTATATGTGTATATATATATATGTATATATATATATATATATATGTATGTGTGTATGTATGTATATATGTATATGTATGATAGATATAATATAATATGCCATGATATAAATAAATTAATAAAAAAAAATACTCGAGAAGTAAATCGCATATCAATTTATCAGTAAGGCTTAATATGTAAGTGTTAGTAAACCTAAAATTACTTAATTTTTATTACTGTTATTTTATTAAGCTGTTTTAAATTGGTCTAATTTGCATTGTTTTTATTTATTATAATTGTACCTGGCTTACCTTTATATTTAATATGTGGATGACTGTTATTGGCATACTTGAAGTGAAATTGAAAATTGTATTTAGTGATATACGCTGTTGTTATCCTTATTAAAATAAAAATAAAATAAAATAAAACAATTCCTTTATCTTATGTTTAATAATTAATTTTCGTTATACCTATAGTTAATACGTATAATGTAACGTATTGTTACGAGCTTGGGGTTCGAGACAATTGAAAAACTGCCGACTTAATTACCAAAATTGATACTTTAATTACAGAACACTAATTACAACTTAAAATCACACTAATAATAAAACACAATTGTACTACTGATCACTTTAGTTCGCAGTTGTATCGCTTCAAAGTATTCGCTTG